TTCCATCAGGAACCTTCATACATATATATGTCCGAATCTATTGACCGTAAAGATATGCGGTCACGACGTCCATCAACTGCATAGATAGACGATTTTGCACTGCCAAGGATATGAGTTATCGAAAAGTGGTTGCACACTCATTACTGGAGTATATGTTTCAGTGAAATCAATGTCGGGTTTCTGCGTGAAACCTTGTGCTACGAGCCTTGCTTTATATCTTCCGAACTTGAAGTTCGGTCTCATGGGTACGTGGATCAGAGGATGAAATGGCATGAGGAGTCCAATCAATTTCTGGGCATTCTTTTTGGTACTTGAAATCTCCCCCTAATGCCGGAAAATGTTCCTCATTAAATATGCCATCAGCGTGACGGGCTGTGAACTGATCCCCAGTCAGGGTTTCCAGGTGCTTGATAATCGACGGTGATTTGTACCCAACATAGATCCCCAACTTCCTGTGTGGGCCCATAGATGTCCACTGTGGTGAGATCGGGATGTATGCATCAAACTTACGCAGATGGGAAATGCTAGGATGATTTCCACGTACCAATTCTAGAGGGGAAGAACTATGATATGCAGTTGGCCTCAATTGTATCAAGTCAGCAGCGTGTAAAACAGCATGACCCCAACAAGAGGTTGGCAAGTTTCAATTCGTCAACAAAGGTCTTGCAATGAGTTTGATCCTCTTAATCAGTGCTTCGGCCAAACCATTTTGTGTATGGACATATGGAACAGAATGTTGAACTTCAATCCCCAAAGCCATGCAATAATGATTGAAAGCACTTGAGGAGAATTCTGCAGCATTGTCCATTCGAATTGACTTAATTCGACTTTAATGGGCTGGCAACTTAATGACTTGCCTCATTATCTTGGCAAATGCATGGTTCCGTATGGACAGAAGGCACACATGTGGCCATCACGTTGATGCATCAATCAGAACCATGAAATACCTGAAAGGTCCAAATAATGGCTGAATGGGACCACAAATGTCTCCTTGAATACATTCAAGGAACTGAAGTGGTTCAGCTTGTATTTTGAGGTGCGAGGGCCTCAAAATTAGCTTTTCCATGGCACAAGATGTGCACGCAAAATCTGAAGATTGAGGAAATTTTGACTCAAGCATATTATGACCAATGGAATTGCTAGTAATTTTTCTCATCATCCCGACTCTGGGATGTCCTAGGCGATCATGCCAGGTTTGGAATGCGTTAACATTCTAAAAAATTAATCTGTATGCAACATGTTCCACGGGTTTGATGTACGTATAGTACAAACCAGATGATAGAGAAGGAATTTTCTCATGTACCTTATTGCCATATCCGTGATCTTTAGTAAAGAGTAGATACTCCTCTTTGTTGTCTTCATGGGTTTCAATGTGAAAACCATTCTTACGGATATCTCGGTAACTGATCAGGGTACGTGATGAGTCGGGATACAATGAAGCATCCTCAATCGTCACTTGTGTACCGCTTGGGAGGGTGAATATGGCACGTCCAGTACCAACAATCACTGTATCGCGTCCAGCGGTAGTTAGAATATCTCCATTCATCTTTTTAAGAGTTTGGAAATATTTCATCTCCCTCGGTATGGAGTTTGTGGTACCACTGTCCACAAGGCATAATTCCTCTTCCATCGGATTGTCCCCGTAGAAAACTATATAAAACAAAGAATTTTCAATAAGAAAAACTCATGGTAATATATAGAATACAATCTTTATTATATCAAATGTGCTGATACAATACAATATAAAGACAACAACAACCTTATGTTCTTATTACAATCATCACAAATGGACATAATTAAGTAGATCACTAGGAGATTGAGGGACTAGTCGAAGTCGCCAAACACGTTGTTTGCGGTGTACTCAATCAACGTGTTCTCCGTTTCAGCAGTATCCTTAGGCAGATAAGGAATCATGGTGTTGCTCGGTCCAGGAGGAACATCGTGCGAACCACCGGCTTTTTTTCCGCTATGTCGATGAAGGTTGAAATTGGCTTCAAATCTTTTCACTTGAGGTGCTTTGCGTCCCTGAGATTGCTGATACAACATACCTAGATGCTTGGGCATTTTGCACTTTTCAGTAGAATGCGTGTAGCATCCACACTTGTTGCAAAGCTTGGATTTATCAAACCTAGGCTTTGAAGTGTCTTTTCCCTTTCCTGGGTTTCTGGGTCTCCTGTTCCCATGGCACTTTCGCTTATGCTCGAAATTGGATTGTTTACCCCGAGAGGTACCATTAAACTTTTGTCTATTTGCAACATTCAGATGGACTTCAGGTAAAGGTTGTGCCCCAACTGGGCGCTGAGAGCCATTCTTAGCGAGTAGGTCATCATGCTTTTCAGCCTGAAGTAACATGTGAATAAGCTTGGAATAGACAGTGTAGTTACGAGCATGGTATTGCTGTTGGATGATCCTATCTGAAGGGAGCATAGTAGACAAAGTTTTCTCTATCTTCTCCCCCTCAGTAGGTTCCTTCTCACAAAAGCGTAGTTTGCAACATATCTTATGAACAACATGATTGTACTCACCAATGGACTTGAAATCCTGAAGACGGAGATGAGTCCAATCATGGAGTGCTTCTGGCAGGTCTGCTGCCTTCTGCTGTTCATACCTCGTTTTGAGGGCCAGAAACAGAGTACTAGGAGATAACTCCTGTAAACACTCAGACTTGAGATCTGGATGAATATGGTGCCTTATGACGAATAAAGCAGCATAGTTCTGATGTTCTGTCAGCGGCGTGGCCCCAGCCGGGAGAGGAGAGTCTCCGGGGGTTGTATGGCACGCGCTATCCCACGTGACGCAAGACTGATCTTGATGTCCATAGCCCATGTAGAGTAGTTGTGTCCATTGAGGGCAAACTCCTCAAACTCTTTGGTAGTCATATTTGACTACATGGGAAAACCAGAGATAATTAATTTACAGGTGGTAAATTAAAAACCATCATGGTTCTTTAATAAGAATGCAAAAATTTGATACTCAAGTGTAAACTTAAAAAATTCTCAACCTCAACTGTGTGAACATAACACTTTGAAGATCACTTAGATTTCACAGTAATAGGCTACATCACCATTACCTTGTGTATGCTACAATTCAGATATAAGGAATACTCGTTGGAGGTAATCGCTTGTCGAGAATGACAAAGCGTACACCTCACAGTGAGAGGGGATAATCTGCAAATGAGCAGTAGATGCCAACTCATTACCTTCTGATTCCAAATATAATGAGGGAGAAATATTCAAAAATTTGCAAGTTTAGTGTGCGGGAGAAGATGATCTCGATCGCTAAAACATGTTCAAGAGAACTTGATATGTGGTAAACACATGGAACAAGTCATTCTTCCCAGATGAAATCCGGTACTTTATTTATATTATCAATCCATTACATAATATAAACACACTAATAATTACACAAGTCCTAGTCAGATGTAATCTAGAACTGGACTAGATTGTAAGTAGCAGTCAAACTAGGTACTAAACAGAGTCTAAAATTGCACAAATACAACAATTAGTACTACTGTTAATAAAATAGAGAGAAAAAGGAAAAATATGAATCCAAGCCAGAAGGAGGCGGCTGGAGGACACAACAGGCGCCTGGGCCTGGGCCTCCATGGCCTTTGGCCAGCCCACCCGCAGCCCCACCGCATAAGAGGAGGAAGCGGCAGTTACAGATAAGGGTCTGAGACCCGAAGCCCGCACCTCCCGCTCGATCCCCTTCCCTGCACGGCGCCGGCGACTGGAGTGGCCGCCACAGCCCCTCGCGGCGCCGGAGGTCACCGGCGTAGCACCAACGACCCTTCCTAATCCGAAGAAGACGCGATGACGACGGGGTCCGGGCGAGC